ATGGGGACTTCATAGACTGTCTGGTACATGTGCATTTCCTTACATTTTCATAATTTATAACAGCATACTGTAATCCTATAAATATTATGGACCGTGTTCATGTTCTGGGCTTGAAAGAAAAGTCAACATCCAGGAGTTGACATTGGAGAGGTAGCCTGCCTTCCTGCCTCAAATCTATGTCTGGTATTTGCATTATGCGACAGCATTAGTCTGTCTCTCAAACACAGAAGTCCCTCACACACCACTGCTGTAAATTCTGTTGATAGTATTGCATAGCTACTGAAAAATGTTCCATTCCCTGCTTCATGTTAAAACTGGTATTGAGTGATATGACTTGAAAGAAAAAACCTTTGATGTCAGTAGAAAGCATTCTCCTTTGATCTGTGGCTGAAATTCTAACACTGTTGCCAAATTCGGACATTATGTTCTCACACGTCAGGCTCCATTCTTGATATGACAGCGGTGCTAACAGATTTCTGCCACCAGTACACCACAGATAAATCTGCACTGAGTGCAGTAGTAACCTACCAGCTCTCACAGTCTCACGTCAGAATGAGATGTTCCATATATTTCTCAAACGTCAAATTTCAAAGTTGTTCCAAGCGTCAAATTTCAAAGTGTTTAAGATTAAGTTTAGGCATTAACTCAGAATTCTTAAGGTTAATCATTAATTCCGAATGGTTAAGGTAAGGGTTAAGGTTTGGGATAGGCTTAAAATAAAACAAATCTGAGGCAGATGCTTTCGCCCATCCTCCATCCCCGTCCACAACGCCCTAGCAAAACCGAAACCTACTTGAAGTTAACAGCGCTCACTGTTGCCCCTAGTGGACGGTATCCACATCATCTCCCAACATCCTCATACATGGATGGACGTCAAATACTGACTTGTATCACGTGTGAGCTGGCTGGTATTAACACTACCTGTAGTGGTGGGGCCTACCAGGCTACCTGCCACACACACACCACACAAACATGTACAAACACACACACACACACACACACTTGCTTGCACACACAGTGTGCCACCAGACAGTTCCAGGAGATATAGGAAAATTGAGGAAGAGACAGTCAGAGACAGAAAAGGAGACAGAGAGGGATGATAGATAGCGTTTATTATGGGCATCTGTACTGTAAAGGTTAGGCTGGATACGAATGCACATGATGGTGCTGCTAAATATAGACAGGAACTCTGTCTGCATTGTCACGATCGTCGACAGATGAAGCGGACCAAGGCGCAGCGTGATAAGCGTACATTCTTTATTTAGTACACACACGAACCAAAACAACAAACGAAACTATACGTGAAGTCCTAGGTTATACACAAAACCTTACGGAACAAGATCCCACAAATGACTAGTGAAAACAGGCTGCCTAAGTATGGTCCCCAATCAGAGACAACGAGCTACAGCTGCCTCTGATTGGGAACCACCCTGGCCAACATAGAAATAAACGATCTAGAATGAAAACATAGAAAATGTAACAGAAATTCCACACCCTGGCTCAACATTTAAGAGTCCCCCGAGCCAGGGTGTGACATACATGCACTCTTACCACGCTATTCACCATGACGACCATTGACAAAGAGACGTGATTGAAAGCAATTAAATAGCAGGCATATCATCAAAAGTTGTTGATACAAAAACACCTAAACAACTGTGTATTTATTGAAAGGTATTTAAGTTGTTATATATAATAGCAGTTATGCCTGCATGTACAGATATTTTTTTAACAATCATTTATAATGTCGTTGGTGTGTGTTCTTTTGCTTTTATTCAGTTTTTTTCGGGGAGTTGTTTGTCAAAATAAAAAAGTTTATCACAAACTTATTTTAGTAGTTTGAATTATGTTTGTGCCTTTGTCTCCAGGCTCTGTCGTAAGCCGGCCGCGACCGGGAGACCCATGGGGCGGCGCACAATTGGCCCAGCGTCGTTCAGGGTAGGGGAGGGAAGGGATGTAGCTCAGTTGGTAGAGCATGGTGTTTGCAACGCCAGGGTTGTGGGTTTGATTCCCATGGGGGGCCAGTATGAAAAATAATGTATGCACTCACTAACTGTAAGTCGCTCTGGATAAGAGCGTCTGCTAAAATGTCTGAGCAGGCCCAGGGTTTTCATAAATTGGTAGTCTCGTGGAAAGTCTAGAAGCATCATATAGTCTCTATATACTGTTATGTTATGTGAGGGGAACACTCCAGAGCCCTTGAATGACCCAGCAATCTATACACTCTCAAGGAGAGAGAGAGAGAGAGACTCCTTGCAACACAGTATGAGGACATACATGGTCTGTGGTAGATTTTGATACTGGTCTCTGTAGCTCCCCTCCAATGGTTTTCCATATAAATCCCATAGAAAGGAAAGACATGAACTACATTAAGTTGAATGGACAAATTCATGCTGGGAAAGAAATCCTATTAACATATTATTTTGCTTCTTAAAAAAGCACAGATACTATTGGAAATCTGGAAATCCATTCTAGACTGATTACTCCCAGAAACCGAGAGCCAGAACACACGTGGGTAAAGCGGGTTTTGAAAATGTGTCATTGGCTTTGATACTCTGATTGGTTAGAGATGATCCAATCGCTGATTACTTTGTTTTATACAACACCCCTCATTTTGACATCACCACAAACGACTTTATTGATGGCAGTCTCAGACTAAAGTATGTAGCAAACGATAGAGCAGCAGAAGAATTCAGTTTGAGTCATCAGGCAAAGATACTATATCATTATTGCCTCTAAAGTAAACACCACTTTACATCTGAATACCAGGTCTGGGAAAAAGACAAAGAGGTTTTTGTGTACAGTGCACCCAAGTGCCAAAAGCAATATTTTGATGTGGAAGCTATACCTGTCTCCCAACTGTCTTATGTAAAGCTAGATTTCTATACAACATAGCACTGGTCTGGAGTCAGTTGAGAGCAATATGATTAATATACAAACAGGCAGGCAGGCCTGATCCCAGCTAACACACACACACACAAACACACACACACACACTGACAAGCTTAGTTAAAAGGCTTCAACTGTAACTCTGCTCTAGCCTGTTGTCATGGCAGAGAGAGAAGTGAGGGGTTTGTATGGGCTGTGACGCAAATGTGCACAATGAAAGAACCAACTGTGTGAGTGTTGAGGGGCATGAATCCACATGTGATCCCTTGCTCTCACGCACGCACGCACGCACGCACGCACGCACGCACGCACACACACACACACACACACACACACACACACACACACACACGCACACACACACACACACACAAATTATATCATACACACAGGTGTACTCACATGTACGTTACTCAGAAACACATACGACACACATGCAGGCGAACACACAGTCGCACACACACACAGTACTGTTTAACCTCAGTCACAGACAGAAAGTCCATCATGCAGAATCGTAATAGTAAAATCAAATCTATATAATCACTACTGTATGTGAAAGCAATGCAAACAGAGAAACTATAACAGAGGGTACAGTACTGAGCTGATTCAGCACAACACTGAATGAGAGCGGAAACTGTAATGGAGGTAGTTGGCAGGGGCTGTGGATGGTGAGCAGCACTCCTAGCATGCTGTACCTCATTCTATTATTAACCATCATTAGACAGACAAATCTGACACAAGATGAGGAGGACAGCACAGCAAAGCCTTCTCAAAGGAAGCCATATAAAATCCCAATAGATTTTTACCCAGTCCACAAAACCCATTTTTGAAGCAGTATTAAGCTGAGTTGTGAGTGTGGCGCCACAGACTTGTTGTCCGGCTCCAATAAACAGGGAGAGAGGGGATAGAGAGGAGAGAGGGGAGAACGACTTGCGGACGACACGCACGTAAAAGTGATTATACAGGGGCGGGCTGAGCAGCAGCTTCGCCGTTCACCGCCATTACCGTCCGCCCGCCGACGTATAATGCCTTCCCCGGGGATGGAAGCTTGAAGAGTTTACGATAACGCACTTGCCATAATTCTTTACAGCCATTTCTATTGATACTTTCCCCACATGTTCCTGAGATATATATTCTATGTTGCAATTCTCCCAGGATCCTCTCTTCTCCTGCTGCTGCCAGGGGAGTTGCTGCCTCTTACATAAATAAATAAAACATTGATGAATAATTGCTCTCTCTCATTCCCCCACTGTCTTTCTGCCTCTTTCTCGCACCCTCTGCATTCTCTTTCACCCTCCCTTCCTCTCTTTCACTCCCTACCTCTCACTCCACTCCTGCCAAGTTAGGACGTCACTACACTATGTGCATGTCCTGAATGTGAAAATGTAGGCATATCATCACATTTTGAAAGAGTTCCATGTTTCTCTGCCTGCTCCTGCCACGTCTATGATGGACCAGGCCCTCAAAGGTGCCCATGGGTAATTAATGTGGCCAGTTATGTTGAGCAGGAGAGATTATCACTCAAAGGTCACCAAGTTCATCATCTCACCAAGTTCATCATCTCAATAGTCAGCAAGTAACATCGGAAGTTGCTGATACTGCAGCCTTCGCTACTGCCAGGCTCAACATGCTGGTGAATCCCTCTATCTAGTGGATAATTTAGTAACTACAGCTCTAGGATGGCTCTTTTTCACTGATATTGATATGAAATTGGGTCCAACTCTATACAGAGTGGGGGTGTTTGTCACCAAAAATGATCCTTACATTGATCCTAAAAAGTCAAGCGATGTGAATACTTTCTGAAGGCACTGTATATATTATACAGCATACATTATTTTTGCCAAATAAAACAAGAAAATGTAAGCAATGACACACAGCAAGAAGGAGCTGAAATAGTCCACTATTAGGCCTTGGTTCATGTAATGAAAAGGGGTAATATCAAATCCACAGGGATCACCTGCCCCTGTGGAATCATATATGGAATCAAAATATATCTGCAGTGCAGCTAGGGCCACCTCAGCCCTAGACACAATAACATGTTTATTGATTCATGGTATGACAGATAAGACAATGTCATTGGCATTTAATTTTTAATTAATATTATAATGACATTTAAATAAACTATCCTAATTCGCATTACTTATTCCTAAACATTTGGTCTTATTTCATAACGGAATGGAATTGGCAATTATGGATATGGCAGTGTATTAGGAGGTAGTCTATCCCTCCAGGTCTTCCACCAGGAGATGGTCTGCTTTTTTCAGGGCCTGGTAAAACTGTTCCTGCGCAGTTTGCCCTTTCTTAATTATCATTGTCAGCAGAGCTTCGTTCTTCTTGGTCGGTGTGGTTTTGAAGTCCACCTCCTCTCTATCCTCCCCACTCAGAACCCCAAGGTGCTCGAGAGCGCTAAGGATGGGACGAAGGTTGCCCATCCTGGTCTCTAGAGCTCTTGTGTGTCTTCAGGAAATCATGGCCTGATGAGGGGCTGGTGTGCTGGGATGCTGCAGGCGAAGGGACTGCAAGAGAAGAGGACCCACTATTATGATAAATGTTACATCTGTCCATCCTGATAAGTCAAATGGAAATCATTCTAGCTGCCCAATGAGCAAGCTCGAATGATTGGTATGATTGAGTGTGATAACGTTTTATGTCAATATTAGTCAATAATTGAACTTTTGTCTCATATGAGTGCAATGCTCAGTTTATTAATTTTGTGCTAAATCATTGTGTTAAAAGTATAGATTTTACACTACTCACCATCACCTGTATGATAATGGATTGCTCCAATGGTGTTACCAACCGTTATGGGAGCATTGACACTGGCCCCATTCTGGGCTGAGATGTTGATGGAATGGACAGAAGAAGACCCAGATTCCGGACCAGATGCCATTCTAGCTCACTAGACACAGAATATTAGAATAGGAGGGAAAACATTATCTATTTAATTCTGTAAAGTTGACTGAAGACCTTGACTTATCAATGAATACAGATATGGAGACAGCATACACCCAATTTGAGTCACGTATCATGCCAACAGAATATGATTGCTGATTTCATCTACAAACATCTACTCACCCTATGTTAAGCATTGTCTCTCAACCTGGTCTCAGAGCATTTTGTATTATTCTGTATGTAAATCCGAGACAGTCCACTTAGTATATTATGTTGGTGTGTATTAATTTGTGTATGTCCATCACCCATTTCGTATTATATGTTACGAAATACAATTTGAATTATATGTTATAAATTTGCAAAACATACAATATGTTATGAATCTGCAAAACATACAATATGTTACGAATTTGCGAAAACGTACATTTGAAGTTGGAAGTTTACATACACTTAAGTTGGAGTCATTAAAACTCATTTTTAACCACTCCACACATTTCTTGTTAACAAACTATAGTTTTGGCAAGTCGGTTAGGACATCTACTTTGTGCATGACACAAGTAATTTTTCCAACAATTGTTTACAGACAGATTATTTCACTTATAATTCACTGTATCACAATTCCAGTGGGTCAGAAGTTTACATATACTAAGTTGACGGTGCCTTTAAACAGCTTGGATTTTTTTTTTTAACGATGTCATGGCTTTAGAAGCTTCTGATAAGTTAATTGACATAATTTGAGTCAATTGGAGGTGTACCTGTGGATATATTTCAAGGCCTACTTGCAAACTCAGTGCCTCTTTGCTTGACATCATGGTAAATTCAAAAGAAATCAGCCAAGACCTCAGAAAAACAAACAATTGTAGACCTCCACAAGTCTGGTTCATCCTTGGGAACAATTTCCAAACACCTGAAGGTACCACGTTCATCTGTACAAACAATAGTACACAAGTATAAACACCATGGGACCACGCAGCCGTCATACCGCTCAGGGAGGAGACGTGTTCTGTCTCCTAGAGATGAACGTACTTTGGTGCGAAAAGTGCAAATCAATCCCAGAACAACAGCAAAGAACCTTGTGAAGATGCTGGAGGAAACAGGTACAAAAGTATCTATATCCACAATAAAACGAGTCCTATATCAACATAACCTGAAAGGCCGCTCAGCAAGGAAGAAGCCACTGCTCCAAAACCGCCATAAAAAAGCACATGGGGTCAAAGATCGTACTTTTTGGAGAAATGTCCTCTGGTCTGATGAAACAAGAATAGAACTGTTTGGCCATAATGACCATCGTTTGTTTGGAGGAAAAAGGGGGTTGCTTGCAAGCCGAAGAACACCATCCCAACCGTGAAGCACGGGGGTGGCATCATCATGTTGTGCGGGTGCTTTGCTGCAGGAGGGACTGGTGCACTTCACAGAATAGATGGCATCATGAGGAAGGAAAATGCTGTGTATATATTGAAGCAACATCTCACGACATCAGTCAGGAAGTTAAAGCTTGGTCGCAAATGGGTCTTCCAAATGGACAATGACCCAAAGCATACTTCCAAAGTTGTGACAAAATGGCTTAAGGACAACAAAGTCAAAGTATTGGAGTGGCCATCACAAAGCCCTGACCTCAATCCTATAGACAATTTGTGGGCAGAACTGAAAAAGCGTGTGCGAGCAAGGAGGCCTAGAAACCTGACTCAGTTACACCAGCTCTGTCAGGAGGAATGGGCCAAAATTCACCCACTTATTGTGGGAAGCTTGTGGAAGGCTACCCGAAACGTTTGACCCAAGTTAAACAATTTAAAGGCAATGCTATCAAATACTAATTGACTGTATGTAAACTTCTGACCCACTGGGAATGTGATGAAAGAAATTAAAGCTGAAATAAATCATTCTCTCTACTATTATTCAGACATTTCACATTCTTAAAATAAAGTGGTGATCCTAACTGACATAAAACAGGGAATGTTTAATAGGATTAAATATCAGGAATTGTGAAAAACTGAATTTAAATCTATTTGGCTATGGTGTATGTAAACATCCGACTTCAACTGTATGTTATGTTTCGTACGGTATGTATTAAGTTGTGGATGTCCATCACCCATTTCGTATTATATGTTACGAATTACAATTTGTACTATAAGTTACGAATTTCCAAAAATCTATATGTTACGAATTTGCAAAGATATGATATGTAGCTAGGTGGCTAATGTTAGCTAGCTCGCGAACATTAGGGTTAGGGGAAGCGTTAGGTAAAAGAGTTACGTTTTTGCCTTAAGTAACCATCTGCCTTAGTAGTTAAAAAGTAGCTAAAAAATAAGTAAGTAGTTGAAAAGCTGCTAATTAGCTAAAATGCTAAAGTTGTCCATGATGAGATTCGAACTCGCAACCTTTGGGTTGCTAGAAGTTTGAATTATACACCCGTTCTACCCCCACCCACATACAATATGTTACGTATTTGCAAAACGTACAATATGTTACGTATGATATGTTATGAATTCTAGCTTGGTGTTGGTGGCTAACGTTAGCTAGACTGCTAACATTAGCTAGACAAGGGGTTAGGGGTTAAGGTTAAGGTTAGGGTTAAGTTTAGGAGTTAGGTTAAAGGGTTAAGGTTAGGATTAGGTGAACGGTTAGCTAAAAGAGTTACGTTTTTGCCTTAAGTAACCATCTGTCTTATGTAACCATACCAAACATAAGATATCATACTAAATGGAATGCTCTGAGACCAGGTTGTGTTTCTCTACTGATTACAGTATAGGACATTGCATAACTGCTAAACTTTGGGTAGGCTATTGAGCTCCACAATGTCGTTAAGAACATAAATATACAATGTGAATCAAACAGACACTTGTTTGTCTGACATACTTCTATTGGTCTTTGGGTATACCTTTATGTCAAATTACGCACTGTTCATTGCGTTATGGCAGTTTACGCGCACAGGAAAAAGCCATTCAACACCTTCACACAGACTTTCGAAGCTACTGATTATATTTAAAACGAATTCAAATCGCACACAAATTAACACAATCTATTGGAAAATATCTCAAACATCGTCTTACCAAGGTTGATGTTCTAGCTCGGTAGGTGTAGGATACCTTTGTATGAATGTTGTCTTCCCTTCTAAAGTTACAAATCTTGTAGACTACAGAAGGCTATTTTCACTTTCGCTTTCCGATATACAGTGCCCTCCACAATTATTGGCACCCCTGTTTAAGATGTGGTCGAGGACTTCCAAAAATTCTCATTTTTTTAAAAACAACATAGAACCCAAATGCAAAAAATGAGAAAAATCCAACCTTTTATTTAAGTACATTACTTTTGTGTAAAAAAAAAAAATCACACATTTAGAAAAAAATTAACTTGAAATCATGTGTCCCACAATTATTGGCACCCCTGATGTTAATACTTTGTACAACCCCCTTTTGCCAACAAGACAGCACTTAATCTCCTCCTATAACATTTCACAAGATTGGAGAACACAGAGAGAGGGATCTTTGACCATTCTTCTTTGCACAATCTTTCTAGATCATCCAGTGTCCTGGGTCCTCTCTTATGCACTCTCCTCTTTAGCTCGCCCCACAGGTTTTCGATTGGGTTGAGGTCTGGGGACTGAGATGGCCATGGGAGGACCTTGAGTTTGTGACTGCTGAACCATTTTTGTGTAGATTTTGCCACATGTTTTGGATCATTATCCTGCTGAAAGACCCAATGACGACCCATCTTCAGCTTTCTGGCAGAGGCCATCAGGTTTTTATTTAAAATGTCCTGGTAGTTCAAAGCGTTCATAATGCCATGCACCCTAACAAGGTTCCCAGGGCCTTTGGAAGAGAAACAGGCCCACAGCATCACAGATCCTCCACCATACTTCACGGTGGGCATGAGGTGCTTTTCGGCATACTCATCTTTTGTTTTACGCCAGATCCACTCAGAGTGTTTGTTGCCAAAAAGCTCAATCTTAGTCTCATCTGACCAAATCACACGATCCCAGTTGAAGTCCCAGTGCCGCTTAGCAAACTCCAGACGTTTACGTTTGTGAGTGTTAGTGAGAAAAGGCTTTTTCCTTGCATGCCTCCCAAACAGCTTGTTGGCATGTAGAGAGCGTCTGATGGTTGTTTTGGAGACGTTGTGACCCCAAGATGCCACTCTTTGATGCAATTCTGTGACAGTGAGCTTAGGACTTTTTTTTACTTCTCTTACCATCCTCCTCACTGTGCGTTGTGGCAAGATAAACTTGGGACCTCTTCCAGCCTTGTTTGTCACTGTTCCAGTTGTTTTAAACTTCTTAATGATTCCTCTGACTGTAGATACGGGCAAGTTAAGGCGAGTGGCTATTTTCTTGTAGCCATTGCCTGACTTGTGAAGGTCGACACAAATCTGCCTTACTTGAATGGTGTGTTCTCTTGTCTTTGCCATGTTGACAAATGGGTAAGAGAATTAGGCCTCTGTGTCACGTCATATTTATACCCCAGGGAAACAGGAAGTCATGAATTACTAATTAAAAGTTCCTAGATACCCTGACCAACTTTAGCAACTACAGAAAAATATATATTTTTAAAAATCTATTAAAATTTTCAGCGGAATTGTTAGGGGTGCCAATAATTGTGGGACACATGATTTCAAGTTTTTTTTTTTCTAAATGTGTGATTTTTTTTTTTACCACCAAAGTAATGTACTTAAATAAAAGGTTGGATTTTTCTATTTTTTTGCATTTGGGTTCTATGTTGTTTTTAAAAAAAATGAGAATTTTTGGAAGTCCTCGACCACATCTTAAACAGGGGTGCCAATAATAGTGGAGGGCACTGTATTATGCCTCGATCACACCGACAGCTCTGGCATTTTGGTACACCAGAAGTACATTAATTCCCAGTGGAACGCTGTGTTTGCCTTGTAGCATTGCGTTGCAGAAGCAGTTGCAGTGCATTCTGTGTGGTGCATGCGTTGGATTTATCGAACGTATGAGTCAAACTGTATGTGTATGGCTTGACGGAAATGGTAGCAGAAGGTGAATGTTGAACTTTTGTTACACACATATCCAGATAATGCTGTTATGCTATACGTTTCATCGGTGTGATCGAGGCGTTAGCGTATCATCGGTGTGATCGAGGCGTTAGCCTATCAGTGCTGGCAGTTGTTGTTGTAGGCCTATAAAGGAATACAACCACATATGGTTGTTAATAAGAACTCAGAAATGAGATATGCATTCAATTTCAAGTCTAAGTTGCATGTCCTTCATAAATCACTGAACTAACCTCATTTACTGCCTTTGCCAGGACCGGCCCTAGCCTTTTGGGGACCCAAAACGAGATTTAGCGGGCAAAATATTTTAGTGGACCCTGTCTTTACAGCAGAGAAACAGTTTTTAAAAGTTAATTTCCTGCAATTCGGAACATTTTGTTATGGGGCGGAGAGAAGTTGAGCAGTTTTAAAGTTAATTTCCTGCAATTCGACACATTTTGCCAAGACTTATGCCGTGTTAATGATATCTGAGAGAGAGTGACTAACAAAATCAATGGGCCCCCCCTGGAGGTCAGGGCCCCTGGGCACATGCCCTGCGTGCTGGTCGGTATTCGGCCATGATTACTACAAGTTTACATAGCTGGTTAGACTAATTTACCAATCTAAAAATTGTTAGCTAACATGGTTAATTGAGTGATTGTCAGAGACTGACATAACAAGAGATAAACTGCTGATGCACAACCACATTTCGAAATTGCACCTTGTGTATTATACTATTTGAACTCAACAGTAAGTTGAGACCCCGACTAAGGGACCACTTATGTCACTTATGTCTGGAGCCGGCCCTGGCCTTTGCAAATGTGTTTTTGTTGTTGCTAAAATACATAAAAAATGTTTAGCATAGACCTAAGCTATATATTTCACAGCACAAATTATTTATGCAAACAAGACAAGAATATCTAGGCAATGACAAACAGCAAGAGAGAGCTGAACGAGTCCACTATTAGGCCTAGGTTCATGTAATGAAAAGGGGCCATATCAAATCCACAGGGATCTCCTGCCTCTGTGGAATCATATATGGAGTCAAAATACATCTGCATTTCAGCTAGGGCCAGCTCAGCTGAAATGGAAAAAGTTTAGGATTATAATTTTTTTGACCAGAGAACATGCTATTTCACAGTAAACAAATTATCAACTGACTTTCAGCAAGCTTACAAGGAAGGGCACTCAACATGCACGGCACTCACACAAATGACTGATGATTGGCTGAAATAAATAATAATTGATAATGTTTTGTTAGACTTCAGTGTAGCTTTGACATTATCAATCATAATCTGCTGCTGGAAAAACTTGTGTTATGGCTTTACATCCCCTGCTGTAGTGTGGATCGAGAGTAATCTGTCTAACAGAACACAGAGGGTGTTTTTTAATGGAAGCTTCTCCAACATTATCCAGGTAGAGTCTGGCATTCCCCAGGGCAGTTGTCTAGGCCCCTTCATTTTTTCAATCTTTACTAATGACCTGCCACTGGCACTGAGTAAAGCCTGTGTGTATATGTACTGTATGCTGATGACATAACATTATACATGTCAGCTACCACAGCAAGTGAAATCACTGCAACACTTAACAAAGAGCTGCAGTCAGTTTAAGAATGGGTGGCAAGTAATAAGCTAGTCCTAAATATTTCAAAAACTAAAAGCATTGTATTTGGGACCAATCATTCATTAAACCCTAAACCTCAACTTAATATAGTAATTAATAGAAATTCAGCAAGTTGAGGAAGGAAAGGAAAATGGATACCTAGTCAGTTGCACAACTGAATACGTTCAACCGAAATGTGTCTTCCGCATTTAACCCAACCTCTCTGAATCAGAGACTAAACTCCTTGGTGTAACCCTGAATTGTAAACTGTTATGGTCTACACATATTGATGCAACAGTAGCTAAAATGGGGAGAGGTCTGTCCGTAATAAAGTGCTACTCTGCTTTCTTGACATTGCTATCAACTAAACAAGTCCTACAGGCCCTAGTTTTGTCGCACCTGGACTACAGCCCAGTCATATGGTCAAGTGCCACAAAGAGGGATATAGGCAAATTACAGTTGGACCAGAACAGAGAAGCATGGCTGGCCCTTAAATGTACACTGAGAGCTAACATCAATGACATGCATGTCAATCTCTCATGGTTCAAAGTAGAGGAGAGACTGTATCACTACTTGTCTTTGTGATAAGTTATGACATGCTGAAAGCACCGAGCTGTCTGTTCAAACGACTAGAACTACATGGAACTTTATTTCACATCAAGTAACTTATGCAAGCAGTAAAATCAGTAAAAAAACAGATAAAACTACACCTTATGGAAAAATGTGGATTATGAGGTGACACACACACAGGCACACACACATCCAAGTGTGTGTGCACACACACATCCAAGTGTGTGTGCCAACACACATAGTGGTGTAATAATGTTATATGTACTGTTTTATAAAATGTTTGTTTTTGCCTTAATTTGTTTGGACCCCAGGAAGAGTAGCTGCTGATCCCTAATAAATAATCAAAAGGGGACCATTGCGCTCTCCCAGAGGTTTGGTTGGTGTGTAAAACCAGTGAATCCAGATAAATAAAAAGGTGTGATGGGTCCGCACTCAAAAAGATGTTACATAAAGCTTACTTCATTTTTTATTTTTTTTATTTTATTATTTTATTATTTTCACTGCATCAGGGATAGTAAACACAGAGGTTTCAGCTTTGTAGACTTCTTCAGTGTGTAGGTACAAATCTTTTTCATTCAAAATAGCATTTGTAGGGAACACAGGTGAGCAATCGATGAGCAGCAGGTGCTTCTAATCAGATTTGCCACTCATGTGCCAATCAGGGATATGGCTTCTCTGGTCTACCTGTAGACAAGTTACAGTCACAAAGAAATACCGAATTATACGGTATGGGAGCGGACACAAAGGGCAATTGAGGGCATAAGGCGTGAACCATTCATTAATCAATTGCCTCAGGTGTCTGCTCACTTAGATACATTATATCAATTCATGAGATAGCTTATCACAAAGGACATACATATGTGGGTCTAACTCATAAATGATAAGCAAAATCAGATATGGACAGCATTCTTGTATAACAGTCTAAATTTGGCATATATGAAGGAGGTGTTCTAGTTATTTGTTTACACCATGTAGGGATGCGGAATTGAATTTACACTGAACAAAAATATATACATTCAAATTACTAGAGATTAAATGCAATTGTATTCGTTGTCCGTAGCATATGCCTGCCCATATCATAACACCACCTCCACAATGGGGCACTCTGTTCACAACGTTGACATCAGCAAGCCGCTCGCCCACACGATGCCATACACGCTGTCTGCCGGATTCATCCGTGAAGAGCCCACTTCTCCAGCGTGACAGTGGCCATTGAAGGTGAGCATTTACCCACTGAAGTCGGTTACGACGCCAAACTGCAGTCAGGTCAAGACCCTGGTGAGGATGATGAGCACGCAGATGAGCTTCCCTGAGACGGTTTCTGACAGATTGTGCAGAAAGTCTTTGGTTGTGCAAACCCACAGTTTCATCAGCTGTCCGGGTGGCTGGACTCAGACGATCCCGCAGGTGAAGAAGCCGGATGTGGAGGTCCTGGGCTGCTGTGGTTACATGTGGTCTGTGTTTGTGAGGCTGGTTGGACGCACTGCCAAATTCTCTAAAACTACGTTGGAGGCGGCTTATGGTCGAGAAATGAACATTAAATTATCTGGCAACAGCTGTGGTGGACATTCCTGCAGTCAGCATGCCAATTGCACGCTCCCTCAAAACTTGAGACATCTGTGGCATTGTGTTGTGTGACAAAACTGCACATGTTAGAGTGGCCTTTTATTGTCCCCAGCACAAGGTGCACCTCTGTAATGATCATGCTGTTTCATGAGTTTCTTGATATGCTACACCTGTCAGGTGGATGGATTATCTTGTAGACCCTCTCTATGTAGTCTTTTAACAGATAAGGGAAAACAGCGGGTTCACTAAAGTGCCAGGTTAGGACATCACTACACCATGTGCATGTGCTGAATGTGAAAATGTAGGCATATCATCACATTTTGAAGGGGTGCCATGTTTCTCTGCCTGCTCCTGCCACGTCTATGATGGACCAGGCCCTCAAAGGTGCCCATGGGTAATCAATGTGGCCAGTTATGTTGAGCAGGAGAGTTCATCACTCAAAGGTCACTAAGTTCATCATCTCAATAGTCAGCAAGTAACATCGGAAGTTGCTGATACTGCAGCCTTCGCTACTGCCAGGCTCAACATGGTGGTGAAGCCCTCCATCTAGTGGATAATTTAGTAATGACAGCTCCAGGATGTATCTTTTTTTACTGGCATTGATATGAAATGGGGTCCAATTCTATACAGAGAGTGGGGTTGATTGTTACCAAAGATGATCCTTACACTGATCCCTATGGGTTTGGAAATCAAACCAGAGCCCACATACACATATAGGTCTCTGACCTGAGAGTTGTTGCCTGGCCTTTTGTGAAGTTCGTTGATAAAAACATTACAATTAAATCCATTTTAATTCCACTTTGTAACACAACAAAATGTGGAAAAAGTAAAGCGATGTGAATACTTTCTGAAGGCACTGTATATATTATACAGCATACGTTATTTAAACAAATAAAACAAGAAAATGTAAGCAACGACACACAGCCAGAGGAAGCTGAAATCGTCCACTATTAGGCCTTGGTTCATGTAATGAATAGGGGTAATATCAAATCCACAGGGATCACCTGCCCCTGTGGAATCATATATGGAATCAAAATATATCTGCAGTGCAGCTAGGGCCACCTCAGCCCTAGACACAAGAACATGTTTATTGATTCATGGTATGACAGATAAGACAATGTCATTGGCATTTAATTTCTAATTCATATTATATTGACATTTAAATAATAATAATATGCCATTTAGCAGACGCTTTTATCCAAAGCGACTTACAGTCGTGCATGCATACATTTTTGTGTATGGGTGGTCCCGGGGATCGAACCCACTACCTTGGCGTTACAAGCGCCGTGCTCTACCAGCTGAGCTACAGAGGACCACATAAACTATCCTAATTCGCATTACTTATTCCTAAACATTTGGTCTTATTTCATAACGGAATGGAATTGGCAATTATGGATATGGCAGTGTATTAGGAGGTAGTCTATCCCTCCAGGTCTTCCACCAGGAGAGGGTCTGCTTTTTTCAGGGCCTGGTAAAACTGTTCCTGCGCAGTTTGCCCTTTCTTAATTATCATTGTCAGCAGAGCTTCGTTCTTCTTGGTCGGTGTGGTTTTGAAGTCCACCTCCTCTCTATCCTCCCCACTCAGAACCCCAAGGTGCTCGAGAGCGCTAAGGATGGGACGAAGGTTGCCCATCCTGGTCTCTAGAGCTGTCTTGTGTGTCTTCAGGAAATCATGGCCTGATGAGGGGCTAGTGTGCTGGGATGCTGCAGGCGAAGGGACTGCAAGAGAAGAGGACCCACTGTTATGATAAATGTTACATCTGTCCATCCTGATAAGTCAAATAGAAATCATTCTAGCTGCCCAATGAGCAAGCTCGAATGATTGGTATGATTGAGTGTGATAACGTTTTATGTCAATATTAGTCAATAATTGAACTTTTGTCTCATATGAGTGCAATGCTAAGTTTATTTATTTTGTGCTAAATCATTGTGTTAAAAGTATAGATTTTACACTACCCATCATCACCTGTATGATAATGGATTGCTCCAATGGTGTTACCAGTCATTATGGGAGTGTTGACACTGGCCCCATTCTGGGCTGAGATGTTGATGGAATGGACAGAAGAAGACCCCGATTCCGGACCAGATGCCATTCTAGCTCACTAAACACAGAATATTAGAATAGGAGGGAAAACATTATCTATTTAATTCTGTAAAGTTGACTGAAGACCCTGACTTATCAATGAATACAGATATGGAGACAGCATACACCCAATTTGAGTCACGTATCATGCCAACAGAATATGATTGCTGATTTCATCTACAAACATCTACTCAGCCTATGTTAAGCATTGTCTCTCAACCTGGTCTCAGAGCATTTTGTATTATTCTGTATGTAAATCCGAGACAGTCCACTTAGTATATTATGTTGGTGTGTATTAATTTGTGTATGTCCATCACCCATTTCGTATTATATGTTACGAAATACAATTTGAATTATATGTTATAAATTTGCAAAACATACAATATGTTATGAATCTGCAAAACATACAATATGTTACGAATTTGCGAAAACGTACATTTGAAGTTGGAAGTTTACATACACTTAAGTTGGAGTCATTAAAACTCATTTTTCAACCACTCCACACATTTCTTGTTAACAAACTATAGTTTTGGCAAGTCGGTTAGGACATCTACTTTGTGCATGACACAAGTAATTTTTCCAACAATTGTTTACAGACAGATTATTTCACTTATAATTCACTGTATCACAATTCCAGTGGGTCAGAAGTTGACATATACTAAGTTGACGGTTCCTTTAAACAGCTTGCATTTTTTTTTTAATGATGTCATGGCTTTAGAAGCTTCTGATAGGCTAATTGACATAATTTGAGTCAATTAGAGGTGTACCTGTGGATATATTTCAAGGCCTACTTGCAAACTCAGTGCCTCTTTGCTTGACATCATGGTAAATTCAAAAGAAATCAGCCAAGACCTCAGAAAAACAAACAATTGTAGACCTCCACAAGTCTGGTTCATCCATGGGAACAATTTCCAAACACCTGAAGGTACCACGTTCATCTGTACAAAAAATAGTACATAAGTATAAACACCATGGGACCATGCAGCCGTCATACCGCTCAGGAAGGAGACGTGTTCTGTCTCCTAGAGATTAACGTACTTTGGTGCGAAAAGTGCAAATCAATCCCAGAACAACAGCAAAGAACCTTGTGAAGATGCTGGAGGAAACAGGTACAAAAGTATCTATATCCACAATAAAACGAGTCCTATATCAACATAACCTGAAAGGCCGCTCAGCAAGGAAGAAGCCACTGCTCCAAAACCGCCATAAAAAAGCACATGGGGACAAAGATCGTACTTTTTGGAGAAATGTCCTCTGGTCTGATGAAACAAGAATAGAACTGTTTGGCCATAATGACCATCGTTTGTTTGGAGGAAAAAGGGGGTTGCTTGCAAGCCGAAGAACACCATCCCAACCGTGAAGCACGGGGGTGGCATCATCATGTTGTGCGGGTGCTTTGCTGCAGGAGGGACTGGTGCACTTCACAGAATAGATGGCATCATGAGGAAGGAAAATGCTGTGTATATATTGAAGCAACATCTCACGACATCAGTCAGGAAGTTAAAGCTTGGTCGCAAATGGGTCTTCCAAATGGACAATGACCCAAAGCATACTTCCAAAGTTGTGACAAAATGGCTTAAGGACAACAAAGTCAAAGTATTGGAGTGGCCATCACAAAGCCCTGACCTCAATCCTATAGACAATTTGTGGGCAGAACTGAAAAAGCGTGTGCGAGCAAGGAGGCCTAGAAACCTGACTCAGTTACACCAGCTCTGTCAGGAGGAATGGGCCAAAATTCACCCACTTATTGTGGGAAGCTTGTGGAAGGCTACCCGAAACGTTTGACCCAAGTTAAACAATTTAAAGGCAATGCTATCAAATACTAATTGACTGTATGTAAACTTCTGACCCACTGGCAATGTGATGAAAGAAATTAAAGCTGAAATAAATCATTCTCTCTACTATTATTCAGACATTTCACATTCTTAAAATAAAGTGGTGATCCTAACTGACCTAAAACAGGGAATGTTTAATAGGATTAAATGTCAGGAATTGTGAAAAACTGAATTTAAATCTATTTGGCTATAGTGTATGTAAACATCCGACTTCAACTGTATGTTATGTTTCGTACGGTATGTATTAAGTTGTGGATGTCCATCACCCATTTCGTATTATATGTTACGAATTACAATTCGTACTATAAGTTACGAATTTCCAAAAATCTATATGTTACGAATTTGCAAAGATATGATATGTAGCTAGGTGGCTAATGTTAGCTAGCTCGCGAACATTAGGGTTAGAGAAAGCGTTAGCTAAAAAAGTTACGTTTTTGCCTTAAGTAACCATCTGTCTTAGTAGTTAAAAAGTAGCTAAAAAATAAGTAAGTAGTTGAAAAGCTGCTAATTAGCTAAAATGCTAAAGTTGTCCGTGATGAGATTCGAACTCGCAACCTTTGGGTTGCTAGAAGTTTGAATTATACACTCGTTCTACCCCCACCCACATACAATATGTTACGTATTTGCAAAACGTACAATATGTTACGTATGATATGTTATGAATTCTAACTTGGTGTTGGTGGCTAACGTTAGCTAGACTGCTAACATTAGCTAGACAAGGGGTTAGGGGTTAAGGTTAAGGTTAGGGTTAAGTTTAGGAGTTAGGTTAAAGGGTTAAGGTTAGGATTAGGTGAACGGTTAGCTAAAAGAGTTACGTTTTTGCCTTAAGTAACCATCTGTCTTATGTAACCATACCAAACATAAGATATCATACTAAATGGAATGCTCTGAGACCAGGTTGTGTTTCTCTACTGATTACAGTATAGGACATTGCATAACTGCTAAACTTTGGGTAGGCTATTGAGCTCCACAATGTCGTTAAGAACATAAATATACAATGTGAATCAAACAGACACTTGTTTGTCTGACATACTTCTATTGGTCTTTGGGTATACCTTTATGTCAAATTACGCACTGTTCATTGCGTTATGGCAGTTTACGCGCACAGGAAAAAACATTCAACACCTTCACACAGACTTTCGAAGCTACTGATTATATTTAAAACGAATTCAAATCGCACACAAATTAACACAATCTATTGGAAAATATCTCAAACATCGTCTTACCAAGGTTGATGTTCTAGCTCGGGAGGTGTAGGATACCTTTGTATGAATGTTGTCTTCCCTTCTAAAGTTACAAAACTTGTAGACTACAGAAGGCTATTTTCACTTTCGCTTTCTGATGCATTATGCCTCGATCACACCGACAGCTCTGGCACTTTGGTACACCAGAAGTACATTAATTTCCAGTGGAACGCTGTGTTTGCCTTGTAGCATTGCGTTGCAGAAGCAGTTGCAGTGCATTCTGTGTGGTGCATGCGTTGGATTTATCGAACGTATGAGTCAAACTGTATGTGTATGGCTTGACGGAAATGGTAGCAGAAGGTGAATGTTGAACTTTTGTTACACACATATCCAGATAATGCTGTTATGCTATACGTTTCATCGGTGTGATCGAGGCGTTAGCGTATCATCGGTGTGATCGAGGCGTTAGCCTATCAGTGCTGGCAGTTGTTGTTGTAGGCCTATAAAGGAATACAACCACATATGGTTGTTAATAAGAACTCAGAAATGAGATATGCATTCAATTTCGAGTCTAAGTTGCATGTCCTTCATAAATCACTGAACTAACCTCATTTACTGCCTTTGCCAGGACCGGCCCTAGCCTTTTGGGGACCCAAAGCGAGATTTAGCGGGCAAAATATTTTAGTGGACCCTGTCTTTACAGCAGAGAAACAGTTTTTAAAAGTTAATTTCCTGCAATTTGAAACATTTTGTTATGGGGCGGAGAGAAGTTGAGCAGTTTTAAAGCTAATTTCCTGCAATTCGACACATTTTGCCAAGACTTATGCCGTGTTAATGATATCTGAGAGAGAGTGACTAACAAAATCAATGGGCCCCCCCTGGAGGTCAGGGCCCCTGGGCACATGCCCTGCGTGCTGGTCGGTATTCGGCCATGATTACTACAAGTTTACATAGCTGGTTAGACTAATTTACCAATCTAAAAATTGTTAGCTAACATGGTTAATTGAGTGATTGTCAGAGACTGACATAACAAGAGATAAACTGCTGATGCACAACCACATTTCGAAATTGCACCTTGTGTATTATACTATTTGAACTCAACAGTAAGTTGAGACCCCGACTAAGGGACCACTTATGTCACTTATGTCTGGAGCCGGCCCTGGCCTTTGCAAATGTGTTTTTGTTGTTGCTAAAATACATAAAAAAATGTTTAGCATAGACCTAAGCTATATATTTCACAGCACAAATTATTTATGCAAACAAGACAAGAATATCTAGGCAATGACAAACAGCAAGAGAGAGCTGAACGAGTCCACTATTAGGCCTAGGTTCATGTAATGAAAAGGGGCCATATCAAATCCACAGGGATCTCCTGCCTCTGTGGAATCATATATGGAGTCAAAATACATCTGCATTTCAGCTAGGGCCAGCTCAGCTGAAATGGAAAAAGTTTAGGATTATAATTTTTTTGACCAGAGAACATGCTATTTCACAGTAAACAAATTATCAACTGACTTTCAGCAAGCTTACAAGGAAGGGCACTCAACATGCACGGCACTTACACAAATGACTGATGATTGGCTGAAATAAATAATAATTGATAATGTTTTGTTAGACTTCAGTGTAGCTTTGACATTATCAATCATAATCTGCTGCTGGAAAAACTTGTGTTATGGCTTTACATCCCCTGCTGTAGTGTGGATCGAGAGTAATCTGTCTAACAGAACACAGAGGGTGTTTTTTAATGGAAGCTTCTCCAACATTATCCAGGTAGAGTCTGGCATTCCCCAGGGCAGTTGTCTAGGCCCCTTCATTTTTTCAATCTTTACTAATGACCTGCCACTGGCACTGAGTAAAGCCTGTGTGTATATGTACTGTATGCTGATGACATAACATTATACATGTCAGCTACCACAGCAAGTGAAATCACTGCAACACTTAACAAAGAGCTGCAGTCAGTTTTAGAATGGGTGGCAAGTAATAAGCTAGTC